AGTTACAAACAGAAACATTAACTAAATGTACCCTTCATACTATGGTGGAGTGTATAAAAATATAATAACATGCGAACGGGGTATTCAGTTTGACCCAAACAACGCATTCGGTACAGTAACCTATATCACGTGGGAAGGATATGTCTACTGTTCACATTTTCTGGTACCTCCTCAAAATTGTGTTATAATTTATTTTGTCCACACCTTGCACAAAATACAATTCTTACCAAATTTCGATTAGGTCTAAGGCTCTATCGACACACGTTTGAATATCCGATTTGTAACAATACATATCTGAATGTTTCTACCAAATCCATATAAAGATCGAAGATATAGTCGTTAGACCCACTTTGCAAATCTCATACAATGCGGATTCGTTTTGTTCCAAGTGTAGTAAAATTAATATTCGCACTAAATATAGACTTAGTTCAAAGTCTATTGGACCCGTCCTGTTGGAACTTTCCAACCTAATGTAACCATTTTAGAAAGGTGGTGGATAAGATGGGATTTCGTTTAAATACAAAAACAAGCGTAATAAAAAAAACTAGTGAGCGGAGCATTATAATCGGACGGGGCCGACCATATGATACCCTACACAACATCCACAAAAATTTAATTTCCATGGTTCTATATTCTGAGTTCTAGAGGACAGTACATCCCTTCTAATTACTTGTTCATATTCCCTTCACCGTGGGTTGTGTTGTGATGTTCGGCTTTCAATTGTGGCCTATAGATAGAAAAAAAAACACAAAAAAAATAAATTTTCGGTCCACCTCATCCCAATATTATTATCTGATCATAACCGAAAATTAAAGGCGTGGTCCTTGACTATACCTGGATCCTCATGGACAATTTCAAAGCGATTGGTATCAATTTAAAGGCTAATCACTTCTCTTGGATATACTATCAACTTTTCGTTTCTATGTCCTTCAGGATTAAATACATACGCCATAGAATAAAAAATTGTTTAATTTTTCACACAAAAGTTAGGGTCCATTTGACCCGCTAAATATTGACCGATCTTTATCAAAACAGGCATGCTTATTCTTTGGCCCGATCCCCTTCTCCATGTAAAAACTCGCGAAGTTTGAGCCATAATTGCGGCCTCTGGAACGACCAGAAAATCAGCAAAAAATAAAGTATTTGATCCATTTCATGCCCTAAATATTAATCGATCTTTACCAAAAAGAATAGGGTTCTTCATTGGCCAGAACACATCCCAAATTTTGCAAATTTTATGAGAGACAATTTTGTACAATATTTGGAGGTCTTGTGCTATTAGAAAATAACGACAAAAACGCACAAAGATTCGATATAGAACAATGATATGTTTTACAAAAATTTTCCTCATTGAATTTGACTGAAGATATGTAATCTCAAAAATAACCTGAAATAGCAGCATACAAAGCATTTCTTCATACATTTAAGGATTTCGAATGCAATTAAAATGGAGTCTCATATTTAATTATTTTCTGGGGTGAACTCTGTCTCTATATTGAAAAACTCATGCTTGCTGTTTTTCCTTCGAAAAAAAACCGAATACCAAATATCAAAATATTAGGATGGAACATGGAGATTTTATGGGAGATATGTCATATGCCATTTCTAACTCTAAAAACGCGGAATGCAAAGTTGCAGCCACTTCGGTTACAAAATGCGGCTAAACCTTCAAAAATTCAAAAAAGGGCGTTATACCAATATATCCCATTTTATTTTAAATAGCGAAATTGACATAGAATTTCATTCTGATCATGAATAGATATATCTACTTTACAGATCTATAACAAATATTGTTTGGTCATATCGTATGGTGGAGGATATAAAATATATATGAGTGCGCCGATCCACGTTAATTAAATGGTATTTGCCTTTAAACAAAATAATGAGTACTGTCGAAATCACTTATAACGATGATCAAGGACCAGAGAAATTGGTTGGTATAGGCTAGACAGAACAATTTTCGGACTTTTAAGTAACGTTTTTAAAAACGTTGACGTTATAATCAACTGTAGACCCAAATATCTCCTACTACTGTATAGGAAATTCACTCATTTTATATGTTCCAAAAAAACTACTCAAATTCAATTGTTTTAAATGAAATAAACGATGATTAAGGTTATTTATTACCTAATTATACAATCGGAATAATCCACAAAAATTCTCCCAAAAAATTGTGTAGCAATAAATAAATTGATGAGATTGTACTTATTAACAGGAATACGAATATATAAAAACCAAAAACAAATTGACCAGTTTAACAGAAATCGAAACGGGTAACAATACCTGTAGTTACTATCCAGATGTTAGACGAGCCCCGCAAAATACTGGAAGTATTGCTATAACACGCGTTGTATAACAAAATAGATGAAACAGTTAAATGACCAGTGGTCTAATTGGTTTAAACGAAAATAAATTTTACAAAAATAAAACAAGAGATGCTATAGTAGGAGGGATCGAAAAAATGGATACCCTATGCATGTAACTTGGAAATGGGATCCTATACTAGGCAGAGATATTCTCCTTCTTTGCCATGTCTTGTCTCGTTTCTTCTTATTTACTTATACGTTCCTGTTCTGGGCCATGTTTCCACCATTACGGTTTGGCTTATTGTTCGTTTGAACACTTGTTTGATATATTGTATTTAGCATTTATATCGAAATAATTTGAAAAATACATATGCGAATTTGGAAGTCGCAATCGAGTGAGTGTTTGTTAAGTGAAAGTTTGTTAACAACAGAAACAGCCAAAATAACAAACACCAAGTAAGGGAGAGAGACGGAGAACGATACCAAAACAAAACAAACACGGACAATGAATGATAATTGTGATGTTTTTTCTCTTGGGGAGAGAGAGGGAAAATGAGCGCATATGGCGCAGTGTTGAACATAACTAAATTTGGAGTAAGTGTGTGAGAGCGTAATTGAGATATAATCATCAAAAATGACTGACGAAAAGAGAATACATGTTTAGCCATCACCGCTATCGTACTATTTTGTACATGAGTGTTGAGGTAGAGTGAATTAGGAAAATAGTTGTGATATTAATGAAATGTTTACATTTATTAGCTTTCTCATGATTATAAAACGTTTGCTTATATTGAAAGCTTTATTTCTTTGTAGATATTCTTCATGGAAATAAAATTCGATGTTGATTTAGCCATATCCATTTACCTGTTGTCTGCCGTTGAAATCACGATTGAGCTTGTAATATTTAAGATACAGCATTGCATTAATATTACTCCTTTGATGATTGTTAATGAAAATTGGAAATGCCGGTCCACGTTTGGTTATATACCAATCTTAGCAAAAGCTTCTAATGTTCGGTGTTTTGAGAATCTTGACAACGTTTTTCATCCGTAAAGTCTGTAATTCCTACCAACAATTTTCAATATGGGTCCATTGTTTGCTATAGCTCGCATAAAGCGGACCCCGCCCCATTTTCTGCATTTTAAGGGATTAGATTAGGGGTAAAATTTGTCTACCTAAAACTAACAATATCGGTTCACTTTATGGTTTAGCTCCCATATAGCGTAACCCTCTAAATATTGGGCATTTTGGGATTTCGGACACACTTTTCAACCAAATTGGATGAAATTTTCATATTGGGTATAAAATCTTGTCACTCAAAATTATTGATATCGGTTAACTTTTTGCTATAGTTGCCATATAAAGGTCCCGCCCCCATTACCGATATTTTAAGCGATTTAGCCGAATTTTCCAACACAAATGGCTAAAATTTTGTATATTGGATACTCATTGGGTATAAAAATTGGGTTTACAAATTATCAATATCGGTTCACTTTTTTGGTATAGCTCCCATATAACGGACCCGTCCTATTTTCGGTATTTTCAGGGATTCAGCCGCATTTTCTCTTCAAGTAATTGTATTTGATATATTGGGATAACGGTACCTCCTAATATTCGGAATTTTTGGATAGAGGACACGAGTTTCAAACGAATTGGCTGTAATTTAGTATTTTCAGTTCTCATTCTGTGCAATATCTTCATACCCATATAACTATACCGAATCATTTTCGATATTTTGAGGGATTTTGCCAGAAAATTATCAAATTATAGCTCCCACAAAAGGGTTCTGTTCCGTTTTCGGTATTCTGAAGGTTTCAACCGCATATTGATGGTATTTTGAAGATTTTTTTCCGTATTTTTCAAACGAGGTGATTGTAATTTGGCGATCCAAGTTCTTGGAGGGTAAACTACTTCTACGAAGAACATATTTTATAAAGATCCACGTTTCGGAATTTTAAAGGTTATTCCCGCATTCTCCAAACGAAGTGGCTGTAATTTGGCAACCAGTGTATATGGAGGGTAAGCTGCTTCTTTGCTGAATATTTTCAATATAGGATACATTTTTTTATATCCCCCATATAAAAGTTCGGCCCCTTTTTCAGTAGTTTGAAGGTCTAAGCTGTATTTTTCAATCGAAGTTGCTGCATTTCGGCATTCGTGTTTCTTGCAGGAAAAACAACTTCTACACATTTAATTTTCAATATAGGTCCACGTTTTGGTATTGCCTAAATAAAAGTCCCTTATTCCTTATTGGAGGAAACAATGCCTTCGCATCTCTAATATAGGTCCATGTTTTGGTATAGCTGTAATATACAGGTCCTGAATTTTCCCACCGATGTCTTTGATGTGATGGTTTATAGGTATTCCATGTTCCTGATGGGTCAAAAAATTAGCAGAAAATTGTCTATCTTGATTCATGTTTTCACATAAAGGTCCCAATATTGATATGTTGAGGGTTATAATTTAATTTTTCAAGAGGAAAAAACTACTCCCGGCAGTAATATACCAGGCCATACCTCACATATAGGTCTTGAATGATGTGCAAAATTTTCAAATGCCCACCTCATGGTGGAGAATATAACATGTTCTGCTCAATCGAACTTCAAAAAATGTTTACTTTTTAAGAACACAAAATATACCTCTAAATCAACAACAAAAATAATAACGAAAAAAACTTTCTTTTTCTCATTTCAGCCATGACACCCTACCACACATACACGCTTGTGGCTCTAAGCTGTCTCTTTGTTGCTGTCAGCTCTCAATATAGCTATGAAAAACCCACCAAGGTCATTGATGATGGCTATGCATATGCAAAACCCACAGCAAGTGGTCATTTCTTTCCACCATTGCCAACGGTAAAACCTCTCCCAGCAGTACCAGATCTTCCGCCACTGCCAACAGCACGTCCCAAAGTAACACTGACCCAGCAAACCCTTTATCAAACACATCCAACTCCTGGTAATGTAGCTCCGCATACCACATATATTCCTGCTTCGTTCAAGCCCACGGAAATTGGTAAAATTGCACAACAATATCGTCCATCATCATCACCATCCAGGTCATCTGGAGGTTCCTCACCTTCGTCATTTGGTGTTACTGGTAGTGGTAGCGGCAGTTATACACCACCCACCGCACCCACTGGCAGTGGTGAGTTATTACTGGGTACCTATGGACCACCATCACCTGGTGAAGAAGGCCAGCCTCTGCGTATTCCCTTCGGCAAGACAGCCATCATCCATCCCCCCAGTCCCAGCAACAATGTTAATGAGCAACAACCTTTCGGCAGCATTGGAGGACGTCCACTCAAACAATATGCCGTCATTGAGATTATTGATAATGATATTGCCCAGAATAATCAACCCTTCTTACCACCGGTGGTGCATGATGATTTCCGCGCTCTGATTGGTGCCACAGGAACGGGTGCTATACCTTCTCTCGGATCTGGTGGTTTTCAATTTGATTCCAAGGCAAATTCAAATGTTGTGGCCCAACAGCAGCTGCAGGTTCAAACATCCTTCCGTTCAAGTGGCAGTCAAATTTCCTTGGGTTCCGGAGGTTTAGGTTTGGTACGTCTTCCCGATGGAAAAATCCATTTGGGTTCCGGTTCATTAGGTTACATCAGCAGTGATATGGTACGTCACAATGCCAATGAGGCTCGTACACGTTCGGAGATGGCTAGAGCGAGTGCCCTGCATTTTGGCCACGGCTCTTTGGCTCAATCACAGCAATTTGGTGGCGATAGTAGATTTAGATTTTAATTGATGAGTGCTTTTAAATTTAAATTCGTTACAATTACAACAACACATACAAATTGAATCGATCGAATTTGTGTTATTTTTTCGTTCGTAAATACGAGAACTTTTGTAAAATAGACAGACATGGGTCTGAGATTTATTCCTGATATGTTTTTATCATTTTTTGTTTCTTTTATTAAGTATTGAATGTCTTTTTTGTATAGTTTCTTCGTTTTAATCAATGTGTGTTTGCTTTGTACATATATTATATTATTATCAATATACATACATATATACCTACATTTTTGTTTTTGTATCATTACGATGTAAATAAAAATAATAATTACGAAAACTAAATATTTTTTGTTTTATTTTGGGGATTTAAAACTACTTCCTTCTTGTTTACAAAAATATAATAGAGTTACCATATGGTTAGATTCGGGTAATAGACATGGTGGGTAAGTGTCTAGGATATCTCATGTTGGGACGTTTATCCGAGACACAAACATACGGCAGTAGTTGGCAACGCAGGGCATTGTTTTGAATAACGTTGCCACTGAAAGAAATTATATTCAAAAATCTTCTCGTTGAAAAATTGGGACATTCTGACAATAGATGCACTTGTCAGAAAAATTATTCGTACATTTTGAAATTTAAAATGTCATACTCTGACTACCTTTTAGGTCTTAAGCATTCAAGGTTTTTAAAAATGATTTGCTATATTGGCGATTTATTATGTTTTAAAAATTATAAAAATTACACCCTCAGCATTATGGCTAATGAGGCTATATCCACCTCGCTCCGGGAAAAATGTGCCTCATCGACATGTTGTTTTTAAATCCCAGACAATTTGGAGTCGATTTAAAAATGTTCGCCCGTCCGGCTGATGCGCACGAAGGGAGTAACTGATTTCATTCAAACTTTGCATATTGTAATATTTCTTCCAAACTTAGTTCCACTGGTCCACTCCAAACAATTGTTGAAATGTTGCTGAAATTTTATTTTATAAAATCATGCGAACGAACTATCCGATTTGGTCCATGGTCAAATTGTGCTGAAATTGTATTTTATATCAAACAAAACTGTATAATTTTGGACAATAGGACTTATCGATTCACTTCTTTTAGTACCTCCCGCGCAAAATCGCATATGTAGCGAACGGTAATATATATACCGTAAAGGTATCAAGCTTAAACATGGAACCCGTTGGTCCCTTCTTTTGTTACATTCCCCACAAAATGTCAAAATTTTGGAAATTTATTAATACATTATTAATATGAGTTTGGTTTGATCCAAACTTTGCAAATCGTAATATTTTGTCAAACCCACATAAAAACTAAGATTATGTCTATATGACAACTTCATCTGGATCCCCTACAAAACATATACCTTATAAGTATAAAGCGCATAATAAAGCCGGTATTTTATTCCGTAGACCTCATTAAACCATTTTACTAGTATTTCCCTTTTTTTTCAAGTAAAATAATCCATATTTTCTATTTATTTCATCAGACAAAAATTGTTGAAAAAAGTGATTTTGCGATACTTTGGCAACTTTTAGTAAGTTGTGGGTTATCCTTTGCGTTGAAGAACCTCTGTAAGTCGTTTCTGCATTGACTGGACTAAGTTTGGAGGGCGAATTTAATTGATGGGACGTATTATATGGTAGCCAAAACTTTACATTTTGCACCGTCTGATTTGGAACCAATATTCGTGTAATAGGTGGACTTTGCTTCAAATTGTGCTTTAAAATATGTAAATAACCACAAAGATCCATCCAAAAAAGGCAATTTTTCACGCCTTTAGTTAATATCCCGTCGTGTTTAATTGCTGGAACAAGATTTTCATTATTAAGCAAAGTTCCACTCATCCGCTAACCTAAGGGTTTTTCCTTTGATGTCAAAAAATGCAAAGCTTTGCATTGGTTTCTCCCAATCTATGTCAAATATGTACGACATTCTAAGAGTGGTACGGACTTGATAATATTTTTTTTTTTTATTTTGCGCACGGTATCTTCAATTATGTTTTTTGGTCTGTTCCAGTGCTTTTTTAATAGTAAATCTAGTAAAAGGGAAGCATTGCAAAATTGCTCTCAGAGTACACAATAATTTGAAAAGTTCGGGAACGCAAATCTAGTAAATATGCCAAAATTAGATGTAGAAGTAGGCATTCCTGATTACCATTTTTACTTGGCCAAATTTCTCGAGTAATAAGTTTACAAAGAGAACGCCATTTTGTTTTGTGCTCTCTTAAATTTGATTCAATGTTTTACCAGTTTTGTGGGTTGAGGAACGGTTTTCGAGTAAAATGTTGCAAAACATGTAAACTGAGTAGATTCATTTAGGTTCTGGAACGGAACTTTTGTTGAAGGGATTTTTGGTACTTCTTTCCACCGAAAAATGGGAATAACGGCAAGTTGGTACATTGTGTAGCACATTTTCTACGAAAAAGCATTAAAATTTGTTCCACTTTTTACAATAACTTTCCAGATTTCGGTATTTTGAGGATTATGGTCAATTTCTTAAACCAAATTTACTGTAATTTGTAATTTTGAATTGAAAATCCTACCAAAAATTATCCAAAAATACCTCTCAAATTTCGATATTTTTGGAATTGGCTACAATATGGCATTTTGAATTCACATTAGATAACAAATCTCCATGCCAAAAATTATCAATATTAATCCGTTTTTTGGATATCTCCATATAGCGGTAAAACCCGGCCCATTACTCATAGAAATAATCTAATTCGTATATTATATGAATAGAGTTCAGAAAGTGTTTTCAATGTCCGGATTTCAGCACTTTATGAATGCAATTCATACAACTTTAAATACTGGTTTCTTATCAAAGAGAGCGAAAAAACACCTTTGTCTGTGCTTGGTGTTGACGGGTTTTATATGACGCAGAAACCACTTTGTCTTTTTACTCATTTATTTACTACAATTACAATTATATACAAATTTCAAAATTCAGTTTGTTGTTCAACACATATATTGTATTAGGCATTAATATCAAAATAATTTGGAAAATGCATATGCGAATTGTATGACCCCATGCCGGGGTCGGTAGCAGTGTCTGAAATAAGGGTAACAATGGAATTCGAAACTAACCACAATCTAGTGAGTGTAGATACGGCGGTTGTTTGCAAGGGAAACAGTAGTCAAACAAACGATTGCAGAACTAACAACCACCAAGGAGGGGAGGGGGAAGAACAATAGAACAAAATAAAAATTATAATCTAACCTAACTTAATTTAATGTTAAATTAAGTTTATTTTCGATATTCCTAGAATATTTTAAGTAAAACGGCATTTACATTTGAACTTTTCGCCGAATTGATTGATTGATTGACTATCTGCAAAAGCGTAGAACGATATATTTGAATCAATTAAATTTACAAATTCGGAACAACGTCCTGGCTTACAACACAAATAATAGTTTTTCATCAAGACACCCGGGCACAAGAGGGTTTTAACAATGGCTAAAATCAACGAATTAATGTACGAGTTGCTTGACCACCCACCACATTCTTCTAATTTAGCACCCAGTGACTTTTACTTGTTCCCAAATTTAAAAAAAAAATTCTTGCTGGCAACCGTTTTGCCTCAAACGAAGATGCAATTACAGTTGTAAACCACAATTGTCTGGGGATTATATTTAAAAATAAAAATATTTTTTAAAAACTAACTATTCTAACTCATTCATTTATAGCCTAATCTCCCTTACATACATATACACCATATGAACGAGATTTTGTTATATTTTTTAGTTTAGTTCGATAAAACAAGTGGCAAGTTAAGCGAACACTTAACACAGCGCCATTTTGTAATTTTTTAAGCCCGTAGGCGTGATTAACTCCTCTTTAAATGCGTCTTTCTTGTGAGCCGTCCGAAGACGAACTGCCTAATCCCCTTTAAGACTTATAAATTGTTTACTTTTAAAATATTATCATTTAAGGGGACCCCCCCCCATTCTCGGGGTCAAAATTTTTGTTGACTTAATTCCAATCTACACTAATTCAAGAATGTCCCTGCAAAATTTCAAGTTAAAATCTCAAGAACTCTTGAAGATATAGCCGATTTATTGTGTCAGCATCAAGTTACGGCTGAAGGGCTTCTCAAACTTTAAACGCGTTTTTCTCTAAACATTTTTTTGCGAATGGCGGGCACGATAACTCAAAAACTAATAACCCAATCGATTTCAAATTTTTACACGTTTCTCTGTGAGTGTATAGCTATCGTATGAACTAGGATAAAGCCAATCGGTTAAGATCTTCCTTATTTTTTAACTTGGTTTTTGGTAAAAAATTGACGATTTTCCAAAAATATTTTTTCAAAGGTCCGCCATTTTGTTAATTTTAGAGCGAGGTCAATAATCCTAGTTCATAAGAGAGCCAGACATGTACTCTTTCCAACACCGTTGGCATTTTCGGATTCCGATGTTCCAGTGAGGAGTTATCATGCCCGCCATCAAAAATAAGGACTTTTCTTTGATCACAAAAAACAACAACAAAACAACAACAAAATTTTTTCGTAAATTATTTTTCTTCCTTTTGAAATCTTCAAATATATATGTGCAAAGTTACAAACCTTAACAAGTATTGGTATTCATTTACCAGCCCATTTAAAATCTTAAAAATAAAAAATCGAGAATGGGGGGGGGTTCCCTTAAATCGATTTACATAATTTTGTCCCATTGTAACAAACGAATGGCATGTTTATGGATTGATCTAAGTCGGTTCACATTTACATAAAGGTCATATATATTAGATTATACAATTTCATGTTAATGGCCCTTCTGTTAGGATGCATTTGTTTAATATACCCATAGTGGTGAAGGGTATCATATAGTCGGCCCCGTCCGACTTTACTGCTTTCCTTGCTGGTTTTACTTATTTTAGCTTTCTTGCTTCTATTGGGCATTCTATTGTACAACAGTTACAACCCAACTTAGCAGATCTATGTCGACGCGCATTAAGTTCAAGCTACCATCAGCAATGTCAATGCACGTTCAAACTCCATGT